ATGCCAGCCAGGGCTTCATTTCCTATACTATTCTTGACATCACCCTGTCTATTCTGTGCCTGCCAATTATGCTTCTTAATCCCTGCACCTTTTCCCCCATTTTCTCCCTTCCCCCTCCCAGCTGATAACCCCCCACATGATCTCTATACCTATGATTTTGTTCCTGTTCTGGTTGTTCACTTTATTTTTTTAGATTCAGTTATTGATAGTTGTGAACTTGTTGCCCTTTTAATATTCATAGTTTTTATCTTCTTTTTCTTAAATAGTGACTATGAACTCCTTCAGCTTTACCTTGTTTGGGAAGAACTTTATCTGCCCTTCCATTGTAAATGATAGCCTTGCTGGATAGAGTAATCTAGGTTGTAGGTCCTTGCTTTTCATCACTTTGAATACTTCTTGCCAGTCCCTTTTTGCCTGCAAAGTTTCTTTTGAGAAATCAGCTAATAGTCTTATGGGAACTCGTTTGTAGATAACTCTCTGCCTTTCTCTTGCTGCTTTTAACATTCTCTTTATCTTTAACCTTTGGCATTTTAATGATGATGTGTCTTGGTGTGATTCCCTTTGGATCCAACTTGTTTGGGACTCTTTGTGCTTCCTGGGCTTGTATGTCTATTTCTGTCACCAAATTAGGCAAGTTTTCCTTCATTATTTTCGCAAATAAGCTTCCAAATTCTTGCTCTTCCTCTTCTCCTTTTGGCACCCCTGTGATTCAGATGTTGGCACATTTAAAGTTGTCCCAGAGGTTCCTAAACCTATCATCGTTTTGTTTTTTAAATTCTTTTTTCTTCCTGCTCTTCTGATGGAATGCTTTTTCCTTCCTTGTTTTCCAAGTGGTTGGTTTGATTCTCAGCTTCATCCTCTCCACTGTTGGTTCCCTGTAGATTTTTCATTTGACTTAGTGTAACCTTTTTTTTTCTTCCCTTACATTTTTGCTGTACTCAGTGAGTTCTTTGAGCACCCCGATCATCAGTGTTTTGAACTCTGCATCTGACAGGTTATTTATCTCCATTTCATTTAGCTCTTTTTCTCTGGTTTTGTTCTGTTCTTTCATTTGGGCTGTATTTCTTTGTCTCCTCAATTCAGCAGCCTCCCTGTGTTTATTTCTGTGTATTAGGTAGAGCTACTTTGACTCTTGTTTGGATGATGTGGCTTCTTTAAATCCTTGATAGTCAGAATTCCGTACCACTCAATTTTCTGATGGTTCCAGTAGTTACTTGTTTTGAGGAATAGTTGGAATTCTCTCTGTGGTTGCGTGAGGAGGCATACAGTGTCTGTCTGTGCCTCCATTTTGTCTGGGAGTCTGGTTTGTCAGTTCTTAAGTATTTAGCATCAAACCTAGATGTAACTGAATTCTAAAAACTCATACAAGAAAGGGGCACTCGGAGAAGAGGTGATGGTGTTTTAGTTGTTTACAGCTAAATCAGTAAGTACAGCGGAGTCAGGTTGATTTTTCTCTAGTACTTCCCAGGTCGGGAGTTTGTGTTTAGGTATGGGATGGTTAGAATTCATGCCTTTGTTTAGTCCCTTGTAACTCGGAGCATTTAAAAAAAAATTATTTATTCATTTTTAGAGAGAGGGGAAGAGAAGGAGAGAAATAATCAATGTGTGGTTGCCTCTCACATGCCCTGTACTGGGGATCTGGCCCTCAACCCAGGCATGTGCCCTGACTGGCGACCCTTTGGTTTGCAGCCCGCACTCAATCCACTGAGCTACCCCAGCCAGGGCCAACTTAGAGCATTTTGACTCTTGTACTGACTGATAAGAGTGGAGTATGGGGTTAGGAGCCAGAGTTGAAACTGAGAGTTTAGGATGAGTTAATGGACAAGTGGGAAAGAACAATTTTTTAAAGTAATGTTTTTATCATATTTTTTCCATTACCATTTTTCCTTATTATACCCCCACCCCCACAATCTTTTTTATTTCAATATTGTTTTAATTTGCACTGCTTCTGTTTTTAGTGTTATTGAGTGTATTTCTACATGTTTTTAGCATTTTTAAAATTAAACTCATTGGGGTAACATTGATTAATAACATAAATTTCAGGTGTATACATTATAGTACCTCTGTAGAAAGAAAAATTTTTGATGTCCTAACACTAACTGTATGAAAACATTTCTAATGTTTGTCTAAAATGAAACTTGAGAGAATCAGATCATGAAACTGGACAGTCATTTAAGGAAAATAATTATTCTGGAATAAGTTCTAATCAGTAAATGGGCATTGGGTGCACACTTTGCAGAATGCATTGGGAAACATTGTTAATGGATTACTTCTTTTTTTCTTTTTTAAAAATATATTTTATTGATTATGTTATTACAGTTGTCCCATTACCCCTCTTCACTCCCTTCCACCCTGCCCACCCCCTCCCATCCACATTCCCCCCTTTAGTTCATGTCCATGTGTCATACTTATAAGTTCTTTAGCTTCTACATTTCCCATACTATTCTTGCCCTCCCCCTGTCTATTTTCTACCTACCATCTATGCTACTTACTCTCTGTACCTTTCCCCCCATCTCCTCCTCTCACTCCCCTGTTGCTAACCCTCCATGTGATCTCCATTTCTGTGGTTCTGTTCCCTTCTAGTTGTTTGCTTAGTTTGCTTTTGTTTTTGTTTTAGGTGTGGTTGTTAATAACTGTGAGTTAGCTGTCTAATGGAATACTTCTGATGTACGAAAGATGGTATTCCATTTAAAGAATTTATTGGGAGTCCTGTGAGGTGGATTATTTGTTTTTGTAATGTGAATAATTACCTGCTAGTTGACCAGCTCTCTGTATGTACATTTACATTTGTACTTTCAGGGACATTTTTCGGTAATACATAGCCAGAAGAACGAGTCCAGTGGGGATGAATGCTTAGTTTCTTAACACTGTGCTGCTCATTCTTACTGGGTCAGATGTTTGATCAGACAGATTAGTACTTGCATGTGTGTAGTAATTCTGGCTTCCTTGGTTACCCAGGGTAAATATTTACGCAATGTGAGTAGCTTTTCTGCTAGCTAAAGCTATATATATACATGAACATATATGTATATATACACAACAGTTTTGAAATCTCTGTGTTAAAAACCCTTGTGTTAGGGTATATTTTTAAGGCTTTTGTAAAAAATATGAAACCTTATACAAAAGCGGAGCCATCGTGCATGTGCTGTAGCTTTTACAACTGGTAGCACATAAGTTATTTTGAGACAAACCCCACACTAGCATTTCATATGTAAATTCTGAGAATTAGGTGGTGTTTAAAATCTTTTTTTTTCATACATTGACATTCTCTCTGTCTCTTTGGTATATTGCTCCTGATGATTACACTTTGTTTTCTTGTGTCAAAAATAATGTGAGAATGCTTCTTCTTTCTCCATTTTATGATTACAAACAGGATGTGCCTGATTTTGGTTAATCTGCATATTCTTCAGAGTGTCCTAAGGGACAGGTAGTGTCTGTGGTAGTAGTTATTTGTTCCCATGCTTTGGGGGAATAACAGGGACAAACTGACTGGGCTACGAATCTTGTCTGAGGGGGTGTTTTGCTGTGGGACTTTAAAATAAGTGGATTATTTGACCTGGAAAGGAAAACCAACTGTGGCTCTATTCTACAAGTTAAGTAATTTATTTCACTTGAGATGTCAAGCCTAACCACTGGTCTTTTTTTCTTTTCTTTTTTTTAATAGCTAGTTGTCTATAAATTTCTTTGCCTTCTACAGGGTTGATTGGTGTGTGGCATCTTCTATACTATAATCTCATATAATTATTGTTCCTCCCCTCCCCTCCCCTCCCCTCCCTTCCCTTCCTTTCCCCTCCTCTCCTTCCTGTCTCTGACAGTGTTCAAGAAGGGGTATAAAGAGGGTGTGTGTGTGTGTGTGTGTGTGTGTACGCACATGTGCAATAGATATTATTATATACAATAGTGTACTATATAAGCATATTTAGATATGTGGGCATTTGAAATAAGGTGTTTTTTTTAAAAAAAGGTTTCTATACTGAAGACACCTTTGATAGCTTGAAATTTATGGTCATCTCTCAAGATGTTTTTATTTTTTATTTTTATTTTTTAAAATTATTTTTATTTTATTGATTTTAGATAGAAGGAGGTGGGGAGACAGAGGGTGAAACATTGGTTTTTTGTTCCACTTACTGATGCATTCATTGGTTGCTTTTTGAATGTGCCCTGACTGGAGATTGAACCTGCAACCTTGGCCTCTAACCAATCGAGCTACCGGGCCAGGGCCTCTTTGAGGAAGCTTTTAAATGCGTAAAATAAAACCCACAGGATTATGAGGAAATCAATTATTTTGAAATATAGTTAGCAAAATGTTAAAACTCATAGTAACATGTGCTTCTAAACATAATAAATAACAAGTTCTAGCAACACATCTAAATTTCAGAGTAATGAGTGTAGATGATATTTAAAGATCTGCAACAACAGCTTAATATGATATGAAAAGAACCAATTTATGTGGATGTGAAAATTCCAAGTAGTGTAATTCTACTGTGGTTTATGCCAGCATTTATAATTGAAAAAAAAAGGTGCTGCATTTCAGGGGCTAGTGAAAATAAGTGTAGGATTTGCCCCACGCCCAGGTCTCTCATCCACGTTCCTGAATTTTATCCGCGAACCCACTGGGCTGCAATCTTGGAGCAAGAACGTTCTGCACTAAGGCTTTGTGTCCTGCAATGCTTAGCTTGAGGCTAAAGGTTTGAACTTAGGATACAGTCATCAGATGAAATGTGTCGCAAACATCCCACATGCCCATTTTAGTGGCTTTGAAAATAAGCCACAACAACCTGATGGTGCTGGGTCTCCAGATGATCCCATTGTGCGCTCTGCGGCTAAATTTGTCTCTTTTTTGAATTCTTGGGCTGCATTTTTTTTTTACTATATATTGCTTTGTAGGTAGTATAAAATTAATGTTCTAAGGAGTTTCTAAACATCCACGTTGGCTGTTAATGTCTTTTGCTTTTATGTGTTTTTTTTTCCTTTTAAAAAACATTTTAATTCTTCTGCAGGATTCGGAAACTTCAGATACGAAATATCCCGCCTCACTTACAGTGGGAGGTAAGAATTTCTATATTTAAAATTAAGATTTTAGTATTGAAGCCTGTTGTTAGTTCTTCCAAAAGTTTTTCTCCTTCTCCCAGCTCTTAATGCTAGGACACAAGGTTTTTCTCTCTCAAGGTTTGTGTATTGCTGTGGGCTTTTCTTTGTAAGCGTACACTGTATCTTTAAAAAATTGCTCTTTGAAATACTTAAAAAAAATTTGACGAAGCTACTTGGGTAATCTTCCTCATTCCATCGCATCCCAACAGAATCTTTGAGATCTTTCTGATGAGCTTGCCAATTGTATTTAAGGTGTGAAGTTCCCTCCTTGAGAAATTTTTTGAAAGACAAATACCTGCTCCCTATGCTTTGCTTGAAAACGTTACTCCACTTTCTGTTGCTCAGATGGTGGCACTGTGGAGACTGTGGATAGAAACACAAACTAAACATTTAGCATGATTGATTAGCCTGTGTCAGCAATTTTCAAAGCATGATCATGATGTCATGGAAGAAATTTGAGACACCAGTGGTCGAAAAGATAAAGGAACATATTTGTTGACTCTTCCAGATGACGGAACCTGAAAGTACTTAAAACCTACCTTGAGAAGAGGGTGCAGGGAAGACTGCTCAGCTCTTCTGTATTTTTAATACAAAAATCAAGAGTAACTAGCTTGCTGTGATTCACATTCATCTTCTAAAATGACATTTGATGAGTCACTAAACCCGAACATTCATCAAAATGCAGAGTATGGTTAAAAGGTTTCCTTGGTGGTGAGTTGTGGTAAGTTGGTCTGAAGTCTGATTTTCCAAGGGCCCAGTTGGTAACAAACTATTTATGCTCAGAATATTTTACACAGCATTTATATTCAGAACAATATTACTCACTGAGTTTAATTTTTTGTAGGAGGAATTGGGTCTTTGGTATAAGCTTGAATATATTTCAAGCTATGTAATATATCAAAAGTATATTTTTATAGATGGAAACAGTATAAATAAAGTTAAGCTTAATGTATTTTTCTGTTTTAGATTAACATTTGTTTAGGGAATTGTGTACCTTGGAGGATGGGTCCCCAAATCAAGTGTTGTGATTTGATCCCTTTGTTTTAACACGGGCTATGTTAGATAGGATTTTTCTGCTTCTGTATTGTAGCTTTCAATGAAATTGTCAAATGGTAGCAGTCAATTTTAAGTAAGTGAATTACTAGAGTAGCAGTAGTACATCACAGTGATTTTGAACCTCTTTCATCTCATGGCACACAAACTAATTACTAAAATTCTGCAGCACACCCTGGCTGGCGTAGCTCAGTGGATGGAGCGTGGGCTGGGAACCAAAGTGTCCCAGGTTCGATTCCCAGCCAGGGTACATGCCTGGGTTGCAGGCCATAACCCCCAGCAACCGCACATTGATGTTTCTCTCTCTCTCTCTCTCTCTCTCTCCCTCCCTTCCCTCTCTAAAAAAAAATAAATAAATAAAATCTTAAAAAAAAAAAAATTCTGCAGCACATCGAAAATATATTTTTTCCTGATCTCACCAAAAAAAGTATAATTTTGATTTACTCATGCTGGACAGATATAGTTGTATTGGCTGTTGTCATTTTTTAATTTGACAATCTCAGGGGAAAGAGGCCAGTGCCCCTGACTAAACAGTCAGGTGTGGCATGTTTTAGAAATTCTTGTGCACGCCACTTAAACATTGCTAGTGTGTCAGATACAGGCAAGTGGCAATTTCCTTTTAATTCATTCATAGTATCTCTTCAAATTTAGATTGCAGTGGCTTCTCAAGCATTTAGTTTGTTGTATTTTTGGTGGCTTTTCAAGCTTTAAGTTGATTGCATTCTTACTCAGGGTAAAATGTAACCTCACTTATGAGCCTAAATCTTTATTTGCCACATCTCACTTTTATATTTCATTTTATCCTCGCCACGGTCCTTTGAGGTAAGGTGAAGTAGGTGGCATTATCTCCATTTTTTCAGGTGGGCAACCATGGGCACACAGGATTCAAATAATTAAGCAAGAATACACAGAATTCTACAAGTTTGGAACTAGACTTTGAAAGTCTTGACTTTCACCTCTTTAAAATTTTTTAAATGATTGTTTGCGGTGTTGATCAACAAGAAAATTGACCGAGGGCTTGTCCAGGTAGGACAAGCTAGCGTTGATGCTTTCTTGCCTCGAACACTTGAATTTCCTTTTTGAGACAAGTCACTGTGTGTAACTTCTATGTACACGCTGAGTGTGCCGGCTGTTGCGTGCCAAAGCCTTATCTCAGGCAGTGATGACTCTGCACTTACAGGTCTAGACTCCCTTTATGTTGGAGGGATTAGACTTTGAACCCACTGATTAATCTTAGAATCCCTGAACGTGGGGAAATGGGACATTAGGCGCCAACTGATTTGATGCAATAGGAAATACGTGGACATGGGTGAAATATTCTAGTCTAAAATGTAGAGGTTTGAGCCCTGGCCGGTGTGGCTCGGTTGGTTAGAGTGTTGTCCTGTGCACCAAAAGGGTTGGGGGTTCGATTCCTGGTCAGGACACATACCTAGGCAACCGATCGATGTTTCTCTCTCACATTGCTGGTTCTTTTTTTCTCTCGGTCCTTTCCTCTCTCTATAAAATCAATAAACATATTTAAAAATATAGAGATTTGACTGGATTCACTTTCATCCTAACTTTGAATTTACAGTACAAATGGAAGATAGAGGCACAACTTAAATTGTGCCACCGAGAAACACCTGCCAGGTCCAGAGTATGGGACATTCCACAGGACGAACAATACTGTTTTACTAACCAAGTGGTGGCTTGTTAGAAGGGAAGGAGACTGTTATGGACTTAGACTTATTAGGAAAACAAAAAAGCCAGTTACAGTAAGTTATTTGTGAACTGTGTAAACAGCCCTTTGAAGTAGGTGGCCTTGGGGTCAGACTCAAAGTTGTATCCCAGCTGCATGACTTTCTAGTTGTGTGATCTCTGAATGGGTTTTAAAAATTCTCTGAGCTTCATTTTCCTCATCACTAACATGGGGTGATGACAGCAGCCACCTCATTGGGTGTCTGAACATTAATAGGATTATGCATGCAAGCCCTTAAAACAGTGCTTGGTACGTGGAAGTGCACGCTACATTTCAGCTATAACACAAACAGCACGCTTGCCCCCTCTTGACCTTGTTCTTGTCTCAGTCAGATCCAGCCTGGAGCACGGAAAGCACCAGGCGTTTCACCAGGGGGAAGTTAATGTGGAGAATCACTGAGGTGCTGCAGGGAGCAGCCACCACCCCTGAGGACCGAGTCGGTGACCCTCTGAGTGAGGGATGCTCCCTGGCTGTGGCTGGTACCTGGGATGAGGGGCTAAAACTGGCTGGAAGGTGATAAAACTGGCTAGAAAGCCACTGCTGATAGAATGATGCTGGTAGGGATGGCGGGTAGACGGGAAAGAGCGAGTCCCATCTCTTGCACTCCTGCCTTGCAGTTTCCCTCTAGTGCCTTCTATCAGCAGAAGCCAGCAGGGGGCCACTGGCAAAGGAGCCAAGGAGGGCCAGCCCTGTACTGAAAAGTCGGAAGGTGGGTTTGGAACTGAGAGCTTAATGTCCAGCCAGACTTCCAGCCCAGAAATGGAAAGTCCTCCCCTGCCCTGCCACTCCTCCAGTAAGTCATTTTCTGTGACATCACCGGAGGGTGACAGAGTCTGGGACTGTGGCAGGAACACTAATGGAACAGACTGTGGCATTTTATAAGATCTGTGGCTGGATTGTTATCTTTATTTCACTATGCTCTTTTTATATTTGTATTCATTTGTTATTTATAGTCTCTTCATTCCACCATATATTGCCGAATGATATGAGAGGATTCTTTTCTTCTTGAATGCTGCGTATATCTAACAGGGGTTAACTGATTTTTTTTTAAGTTGCACTTTTTTCCCCCTTTATTTTTATTGTTGACACTTGCAGGTGTCCACATTCCCTACCCCCTCCTCTATCCCCCTCCTCCCAGCCCCTGCTTCCCCTGCCCTCTGGCCGTCACCACACTGTCATCTGTGACCATGGGTTAGACATGTATGTTCTTGGCTAGTCCCTTCACCTTCCTCCAGCCCCCACTCCCCTGCACCGACAGCTGTCAGTCTGCTCCGTGTATCCATGCCTCTGTTTCTGCTTTGTTCTAAACATTGCGTTTTAGATGGTGAGAAAGCACCTGTGGGCACTGGGCTGGCTAAACGTTTCACTCAAGTGTTTTGGGCAGATAGGGATATGGGGAGACGAACTTTTGAAGGACCTGCTGTCGGAGAATTAGGCAGTTTGTTTTCCTCCAAATATGTGGGGTGTAGACGGGAGACCGAAGAAGCTCTCTTGTCCAGCTGCCACCCCCTTGCACGAGGTGCTTGAAGAGGAGACGCGACTAGACCTGGAGGGGCTTGCCTGTGAACAGTCCTGATGGCTGGTGCACCTGGGTCCTCGGGTGCCCGAAAGGTGGGCTGCTGGGATGAGGACGGGAGGGGACATCCTCTTGGGCAGACAGACAGCACCGCGGTGAGGCAGTGATGGAGCCTTTGAGAACACTTTTTGGTAAAACCTTCTTCGATGTCTCAGATGGGGCCCCATTTTCTAAATTTAAAGAATATTTTTCTGCATTTAAAAAATAAATTTCCAAGGCCTTAGGGAAGAATTTCTTTAAGAGAGGCTTTTCTACCCTTACTGTCTTACTACTGCTCTCTCATCAAAATAATCAGAATTCCTAAAAAGTACTCACAAAATGTCAGATGGGCTACCCTCTCGGAAAGAAGTGTAAGATCCATAAATAATGCAAATGAAGTGTCATAGAGTTCAGTTCTCATTTTGGGGTCAGGCAGTAAAAGTCGAATGATGTTTCTGGAGAGTTTCCTGCGTGCACAGTCTGAGCTGCAGCACGAGTTAGTCCTCTGCGTCACAAGGTTCTGCGCCTGCCAGGGCCCGACACACCGCGCATGCCTAGAGCCACTGCATTTTCGGGCAAAGATTTGACCATGTGGGCGGACAGATACTTACG